CTTGATACCAGTTTTTCTTTCTTTAACTCACATTGAGCCTCGCATCATGCAATTGATCTTCATACGTTTAAAATATATCTCATTCTCAAACTTTAATCTACTCCAAACTATATATATTTTTTATCTACAAGGTATAAATAAATTATATAAGAAAATAATTGTTATTGAACTTGTTCATTCTAATTTACTTTTCAAGAAATCAATCTATATATTTCTTGAAGTTGAAAAAAACCATATTTATTAGTTATAACACTAATTTTATAGCATATTGTTAAAAACGTAGATGTTATAAAAAACATTGTTGTAATTTTTTTTATTATCAAGGTAGACGTATACACATTTTCTTTATAAAGTATGGATCTTTAATATTTTTGTTGTGATAAATTGGAATTTATAGCTACAGTACCATCATTAAAATAAAAATAAAACCAATGATGAATGATAATTCACCATTACAACAATGCTTTGTATTTATTTATCAAATTGCTAGAAGTTTTCTTATTTCGATCGCAGCGTAATTTTCAATCTCCTACAAAATATCTCTTTCTCGATTCAATGTTTCAGTATAACTTTTTATGATCTGCAATTTCCGTACTTTTTTAGTTTATTAGTGATAACATTAAATACAAACTGTAGTTTATTAATAAAAATGACTTTTCAATTTCATAATACAATTTTTTATTAACCTACTAAAAAGTTTTAATCTTAAATATTCAAATATGAGGATTGTCTTTTTATTATCTACTGAAAACTACTAAAAGATCTTTTAGAAAAGTTTTATCAAAAACTGAGAATATTTCTTTAACAATAGAGTCGTTGCCTTATCTTAAAGGATTATCAAGTTTTATTCAAGAGTTTAAACTTTTATAGGCCTGAACAAGAACAGTATTCGTTGCTATCTAATGTAACTATATAATATTATTTTACATTTAACATTTGCTACGAAAGTTGATGTGATGATAAACGAGTATTTTTATGAATTTATGATTATACTGATGCAATAGCCATAAATAATACTATTGAACTTGTAAGTATTATGTTTCTTAAACATACTTGCATCGATAACGTTGTTCAGTTTTTCTTTATATTTTACAGAAAAATATCTGATTGCTACGTACCAAAGTAGATTCAAATATTGAAATTGATAAAAATATTTCAATTGCTCCATCAAAACGTAAATGTTTACTTTGTTCCATACGATGATCTATCAGGATTCCACATTGATAACATTTCCCGTCCAACATAGCCTTACCTTTGTGGTAGGCCGTCCACACATAGCAAGTTGAATGCCGTAGAGCGAGGGTGATATTGATATTCCGATGCATACATTACAGCATTTCAGTGCGTCATGCAATCAGATTCGCTGGAGGTAATTAAATCTCTACGAGCGTTTATCTGTGTGCCGTTCTACGTTCCATCGCTTGTCATATTTTTATATGCTTCTGTGGATCTTGTAGCTGTCTGTATCTGAATAAATCTAGAATCAAACTTTTACTCAAAAAATCGAATTAGAATCATGAAAGTTCGCAACTATTAAATATACATATTTTTAGATAAAAAACGAAAATGACGTGATTTTTCACCTGTCATTGAAAAAAATAGCACTAATTTTTAAATGTAATAGTGTTACGTTTAAACGTGATTTAAATCATATAGTTTTACGTTTAAATCACTAAAATCAGTTCATTAAATTCGCTTTTATTTCACTTTATGACGTAGAAAAGAAATTTTTTTAACTTGCAGTAATGAAATATATGCATCTCTAAGCTGAAAAGAACGAAGTATATTTTATAACTAGATTCACAAATAATATATCTAAAAGAGTTGATTTAGTGGTTTAAAGTTTCTTCACTTCAATTATGATATTCCACTAAGTACATTCTACATTGTGTGGGCGTAATAAGGTCAAGTGCATCTTGCCGAGTGTATCTCAAGTTCTATTGCTCATTCCATATTAACGTGTAACTGGTTTGCTAATTTCAAATTGTAAGATCACAGAACAGAATTAAACTTAGTAATTTAATGGAATGACTTTTACATCTTAATAATCTACAAATTGATGTAAGCAATAGTTCATATTAAAATAACAGTTTCTAGGAATGTTAAAATATTATAAAAAATGTCGTTTCAGGCAGTGTATATTAAACAAATAAAAATAGTAATAACGACATTTAAGTTTTGTTAAATAATTAAGGTAAAATAGAGATTAAGAATTGTTGTATTAAGTTAGTCGACGAGAATAATAAATGTATACTTTTTTTATTTATTTATAGTAGATAATTTACTCTCAAATTCATCAATTTGTGAACACATTGTTAAATTTTTACATTCTGTCAATTTACCAATTAAATTAATTATAAAATTTGTAAAATCTGTATATAACTGGATGAATTTATATTTTCTTAATAAAATTATAACAAAAATAAGACTCTAATTAGTCATGAAATGCTTATATAAAAAAGAATTAAGGCTTTTAGTACACTGAAAAACGATATTTACATAAGTTAATAGAAATGATGATTTCAGAACATGTTTGGATTAGTATATTTTTAATTACATAGTTATAACAAAAGAAATTCTATGTACATCCTTACACTATTTCTGCTTCATCTGCATTATTATTTGATTATTACTTGTGAATAATTAAAGTATCTGTAGCATTTATCAATCTGTCAGTTGATAATTGTGTATTAGAGTCCAGTTTTATAATTTATAAATTAAGCTATTGTATAACAAATGTACAAATCAAGAAAAATCTTAGAAATCTTATACTACTAATAAATAATTTAATAGATCTATATTTCTGTAAATCTAACCGAGTATTTCTCATTCAATATACAAATCTCCCGATTGTCCTTTTATAAAATTCTGGTTGAATAGACTTTATTTTATTGTACCATAGTATATTATAAGAAATCAATCTAGATTAATTGAACAGCTAAAAGTGTAAGTGGAGTAATATAAATAAATAACTTCCTTGTATTCAATACACTTAAGAAGATAAATAATCTATTTATACTTTCTATAAAAGAAACACTCTTGATCATTGTTCCTTCTGAAAGCGGATTTCGCTAGCTACATAGATGCGTTACAGATACGTAATCATTAGTGGAGAGAGCTTTTTGCAATTTAATGCCATCCGTTTGGTAAATATGTATAGAGGGCTATATCAGTAGCGATGCACAAAGACTAGACTATGTTCAAAACTCTAGGAAAGCTGGCGGACAACGTCGAACATTTTGTTTTGGTAAATAGATTCTGATTCTATGTAAAGTAAATTCATACTGCGATAGAAGACGATTTTTGGGTTTTGTGTTTTGATTTTGGCTTAGTGCATTCTCAATTAAAATGTTTTTTGGTCTTTCTTTCAATTAGCTAGTAGCTAGAGATTTTCTGTTTTATGTAGTTTTAAAGAAAGGAGACCTACAATCATAAAAATTCTACGTCGAACACTTACACGGTATATAGGTGGTCCTCTAAGGAGTGCTCAAACCTTTACTCGTACGTTAAGAGTAAATAAGCCAGGATATGCATAATATATACAGAACGCATTAGCTTCCTAACATAGTCACATACATATGCACAAATAAACATAGTTTTTCGCTTTAATTTTGCATGAGCAAATGCTTTTTGATTCAACTCTAAAGCTCAATTACTGGTAATAAATTCAAAGTTTCTGAACTTAACTTCAGTGGAAGCACAGAATCGAAACTTCGGCAGATTGTGGCACTGAAAATGTATGGAGTTCAGCAAAAACTTCGCCTATTTATGCACGAGAAACTATTTGCCTGACTCAGTTTTATGTTTAATTCAAATTGATGAGTCTCTAGTTTGCAAAATGGATAACGATACTGTATCTAATATAGATTCTATTGTCTACACATTTCACAAAGGCATTATACAGACTTATATATATATATATATATATATATATATATATATATATATATATATATATATATATATATATATATATATAAAACTAAATATATACTAAATAAATGAGTTTGTAACGAGTCTCAAATATATCATTGTTTTCTGACGAATACATTTTAACGCTCAACACTTATTTTTTGGAAGATACGCGCATGATTGATGTGAGAAGTACAGTATAAAATAAAAACTTTAAATATAGACTGATCCTGCTCACCTATTCAAGTTCAGTTCGGATAAATAAACGAATAAATTGTATGGATCGTAAAGCCCAGATATAAGATGATCAATGAAAGCAAAGAAGCGAAACTGCTTCTATACGTAGAAACAGAGTAGTTGACCCTTAGCTGTGCATAAGAAAGATCTACTCTGACTTTGCCATCTCTGTGGTCCGCAAATGTTTTACATAATTGATTAAAGACAAAAGAGCGCTGCACTTGCTTGTGCTGTTCAGATGCAGCCAACTTTCCAGAAAGCTGCGTTTCATTTTGTTTTCCTGCAAATGACAAAGCAAGTATAGTTTTTGTAATTAAATAAATAACTTTGTTCGAGCCATTAGCAAATTTAGTTGCATATTTTACATTGAATAATATTTGGAAAAGTTGAAAATAGAAGATTAGAAATGCGAATGATAATAAATCGTGTATGCAATAAAATCGCATTTTGTAATTTAAATTCTATATGTAATAAAGTACCACTTGAAAATAAAACCAGAGACCACGATGAATTCATCTGCAAGTAAAAAAAAATTTTATGAGAACATAGTTTTCTCGTGAAAAATAAAAATGCCAGAATAGTAAAGATGAAATTAAGTTGATTTATCAGTAGAAGTTCTAAAAGAAAACGAGGCATAGGTATAAAAGTACACGTGACCAAAGGATGTTTCCTACTCGTTACCCGTACAGTGTTCCCCTTCCCCCCTTCCATAAAATATAGCGCCGGAACGCCTGCGCGAGATCTGCAGGTGGCGTAAGACCGGCGCATGCGTTCAGGTGCGGGGGGTGAGCGCGCGTAAGCGCTCAAACACTGCCGAATGGTGTAGTGGCGTGTAGTCGGCTTTTGCCGCTCGCAAGGTACACTCTTATTACGTCGGATCGTCAATATTTTGCTGTGACAAACGTTAATGATTAGGTTTTTTTCGCGCTCCCTGTTTCATTTTGAACTGACTCCCCCCAGAAAATTAGTCGCGTCACTTCAGTATTTCTAGTTTTCTTCGGAATATTGCTTCGAACGTCAGCGAGTTATGTTGCTACTATGTGATGTGTGTGATACTGTTGCAATTACAGTGAGACACGATGTTCATGTCGATGGCAAGAGTAACGAAGACAAACATGTCAAGGAATTGCGAAGGATTTGTTGAAGAGGTATGTACCGCACATTCTTATAAGCCTAATAGTCTGATAATAATGCTATTAACAAAACAGATGAAAAAGACAACTTTCAAATTACAAAAGTCAATTACTAATTTGTTAGTGTAATATACGATTAATTCTTGTTTTAATTTCTAATGAAATTATAAATTAAAATTAGTTTTGAACTCTATTCTATCCACTCATGTTAATATTGTTCACGCTGACAACTGATTGAATTTCAATTCAATTTATTTTATAAAAATATATTTAATGTATCACAAAGTACAAGGCCGTCACGAATGGAGTTTTATTTAGTACATCCATTGCATTTATATTTCAGACAGAATTTTTGAGTATCAAAGCGGATGAACAATATTTTATTTTTGAATAGAACGTGTCGTGATATTAATACATTCTAATAGATGTATGTGGGAAAATTCTTCTGTAGGAATATTTAATAACCATTGAGCAAAATATTTTTACAAAAATTTCTTTTATTGACAGAACTCCATTTCAATTATCTAGATTCAATTTTTATACGGTATGGATACCAAAGAGATGGAGATAAAAGTCATGCAATGAAATTAAAAAAAGAATTTAATATGATTAAAAAAGTTTATACATACTTTTATAGCGACTTAAAAATTGTCAAATTGTAGTTCATATTAGTTCTGTTACAACTTCATTTGGATTTTAAAAATTGCGAGACATTAAATTGAGATACTAAAATATAATGCTTTATAAAAGAATAGAAAACTATTTTTTGGGTCATTTAAATCAATAACAACGATGCAGATTCGCTTATACTTAGTACTATTAAATTTATTATTGCTAATGACTTTGTCGTTATGATAGATCTATTCTCAGGTGCAATATTCCGCTGATAGGGAGACTATATGTAATCATAAACGTTCTTCTTCTCTCTTTTTTACTGGCTGTTTTGTTACGATTCGCAAGCGCTCGGTCAGCAAAACTATTTTGAACAGCATAAGCCTGTTGCATATCAGCGGCATAGCGGCCTAATTTTTGTGGTATTCTAGGCAGATAAATTTCACTCAATGGATGTTCTTATGGATGTATTATATGAAATGTAGATTTGAGAGTTTTAGTTAATATTCATCCTTGCATAATTTGATAAAAAAAAATTTTAAAAGTAATAAGAAAGTAAACGGCATAAAATTCAAAAATATTCTGTTACTATGTTTTACTGTGTGAATCTACTATATTGCTCTCAATATGAAGTGCGATTGAATGAATTGGGGAATCTCCATGTCTCGAGTGGCATGGACGGTTAGTATTGAAAAATTCTTTGACAGTATATGAGCGAAGTCTGATTACAAGTTTGTTCCATCAAAAAGTATTCGGTATATTACATTTACAACGTTTTTAAACATTTGCAAGTATAATTATCTAGCTTTCTGTTTTATAAACTCTACTGTTTTTACTTCGAATATAAGAAATATTCCTACCAATTAACTAATGTAACAGAAGCCTTTTAAATCTATCAACCAAATTGTTTTCTGGCGTCGTTTCATTTAGTGATTTTATCAATGCCTGTTATATTCCGTTAGAGTTGGGACAGTTTACGTTTATTATTTCTTATCGATCCCATTGCAAATGTTATATCCATTGTAGTTATTATATTACCATTGTTCAATTAGTTTAATATAGTGTATACATATTCTTTATTTGCGAAATTCTTTCATAGATAAGTTATGAAAGTGAGCGATATTTTAACGCCTCATTATATATATATTTATAAACGTAAATAGTAATGACTTTATAACTTATTTTCTAGGATAATTGGGAAACCAAAAATGAAGAGAATTTCAATAAAATAAAAGAAAATATAAGAGTACCCACGCCAATCATCTACGACGGAGGGAATTTCGTATACAACGAAAATGAATAATTCCAATATACCTGGATTATTGCTTACAATAGGGATTTTGTTGCTCATGTATCAAGGTAAGTTTTGCACGTAATGGTTTCAACTGTATTTGAAATTTAATATAATTAAACATATAGTTTGATAGCAGTTTGATAACAGAATATTAAAGAAACCGAGGTGTATTTGAGGTCCGTAACTTATGAATCACTTATTTATAAAATATTTATTTCCATGATTAAAAGCAATTGCAAATAAATGTTATTGTAATCTCATAAAAAATGTTTTAAATTATTGCTAAATATTTCTTGTAAAAATCGACAATTCAACGATACAAGTGCGATCTATAGAAATATAAAAAACGCCATTGCTTTCTCAACGTATAAAACAGAGTTTATTTGAAAGAGTTAAAATGTATAACCACGCGCTTGAAAACAAAGCATCTGCATCTCTACTTTTCTGTGTGAGAGTAATTTTAATACCACAGACCTTGGATGAATTTAGCATAAATAAATAAAAGATGAGTTGCAAACAGTACGAGAAGATAGGTGTTGAGTAAGAGAGAGGGTGGGGGGAAAGAAAGACGAAGGGGAAAGATATCCTTTTTTTGATCTACCAGATATCGTCAATGATTTAAACTGAACTTTTATGCGATTAATAAGTTATATAAGAAAGAATGTTTCGCATGGGACTTCTTAAAAAATTATAAAAGGCAAATGTTACGTCATAACACTTTGTTTGCATGTGTGTATGTATGAGTGAATGATGATTTGCAGTGACATTCGGTAGCAACGCTTGCTGGACGTGGCTTGTTGCTCGTCACTCGAGTGGTTACCCACCATGACCTTATCAGTACCGCTAGAGCCTCTGAACGGCGAGGACGTTTTGGATTTTTATCCATTAAAATCATGGCCGTCCGTGTCCCTCAATGAAGACACAAACAACGTATTGTGTAACCCTCTTTCGTTTTATATCATAATTAAATTCTTTCGGGCAGATTCTTTGTCGCGTTTCGCGCTCTAAAATGAAATATATTTTTGTCTTTAAAATTGAAATCATGCTTCCGACATCGTTGAATAATATATGTTTACCGAGCATTTAAAATGTTGATTAATGCACGAGTGCATGTATAATCATAATTTCAATTGATTTCCTCAATGAAAATAGATTTAGTGCATATACTGTGAATGTGTCCGTTGCACTGTCACTTAGTGATTGTGAATAGTGTTAATTTTAATTTTAATATTTTATTTGATCATTCATTTTTTACAAAAATATGATTTTTTATGCTTTTTCCATAAGTGCATATTTGACAAATAACAGATATTAAAAATAAATTCTTGAGTGTCGATGCCACCTAAAGCATGGCAGTCTACTTCGGATTATAAGAACACAATTGTACAAAAAAGAATGTTTTACATGATACTTTTAAGCAGTCTGTAAAAGAATAAAGGAGTTAAGAAAAAAGTATAATTAGTTTTATCACAATATTTTTTACGTCAAAAGAAATTTTCATTTGCTAGATACATCTTTAAGTTATTCTACTACCTTAAATAAATAAAATATACTAAATTCCCACTAGATAAAATCTTAGTAAATTAATTTACTAATTTTGTCCTGAGCGTATATTCACTAATTATATTTAATTATAATTATGAAAAATAATTTTTGTAAATAAATTATATTTAATTCAATAATATTCAGTGCAGTTGAGCTTTTTAAATGGATAACTGGTAATTTTTATAATAATATTTAATAATTAAAAAATAATATTCATTATTCTAAATACAATGTAAATTTAAAGTTTTTTTTACCGGTTATGAATATTTAGTTTATGTCTGGATGTGTACACACACTAGATTTAGAAAGAATGTCTTATCAAAAATAATCTTTTCAGATATTTCACACCGATTTTTAATATCCTGTTTTAACGACGAGATTTTTATCAATTTGAAGTATTGCCGGAAGTTTCGGTATTTACAATATTTTTTATCAGTTTTTTTATTCGGAGTACTATTTATGAATAGTATGAAATATAAACAAAAAAAGGAATGAAAATCAAACACTTGTACTGCATTGAATAGTTTTTGAAAGAACTAATGAATGAACATGCAGGAATATGAAGCTTTTCATTTTGTTTCCACTTTATAATTAACTACAGTCGCTATAACAATATTTTCGTATTTTGAAATATCTGTATGAATATATTATTCGCATTTTGTGGAAAAAGCAGATACTGAAAATAGCCCGTTTGAACGTTTAAAAGTAGACGGTCACGTACTGCACTGTGTAGATTGAACTACGGCATATGAAGATAATATTAAAATTTAAACAAAAGCTACCTACAATTAAAGCATGAAGTTTGACATAGCTAAAATTTATTTTTGCTGGCTCTTACCAAAATATTAATTTCGGGATTCAGTATACAAGGGAACTCGCGTTTATGTGAATATTATAGAATTGAGAGGGAAAATTTGAAAGCGAATAAGTACTTTGAAAAGCGCTATTTTTATGTCTAACCAAACGCTTCATTTTCTTGAAAAGCGAAAAGCTGATGGAATGCGTGAAAGATGATTTGAAGTAATGAAGATCTCAGAACGATTTGAACGTAATGCCTCAGCCTGTTAGAGTTAGTTCAGCCAACGTGAAGTTTGAAGTGAGATAATAAGGCAAGATGTCATTTTCTGATAGTTGAATGCGACGAAAAGATGAGGTGTGGCAATTTTTTAATTGAAAGTGGCGTCCGTATCATTTAACCTAGGCTGAAAGCCTCTGGTAGCTCACTAATTGTATCCAGCTCACCTTTTTAGCAGCAAGCTGTGCTCGCGTTCCAGTCCGTGCTTTCCTTATTTTCGAGGCCTTTGCTTCCCTCGCCACCACCCCTGCCCCATCTCTCGACTTTCTTTTTATCTAGACGTGCACGACTTGGTCCGCCACGACGCGGCTCGCATTCGTTAAAGCCGCTGGCTTTGGCTCTGGTCGAAAAAGGGGAAGGCGGCACAGCACAGCGTCAGCGCGACGTCTCCGACGATGAAAGAAATTTTTTACTCGAGCCAACAAAAAACAGCAAGGAAAAAAAATTGAAACGCCAGATGCCACTAGCGTTTCTTCATTTCTCCGCTTTCTTGTCAGATGCTGCTTCATTTCGTTTAGTTATTTCCAAATCAATATATCTTCAGTTTAGACAAAATGTGCACGGCTATATAGCTGTGCTCATTTCGTATATACTAGCAAAAAGAAATTACGCCATTTCCTCTTAGCTTATTGTATTAGACAGAGTCTTTGTTGCGTGCTCAGGTGTTTGCAACTTTTTCACTTCTGTTTTTAACGTAATTGTTGAATTCCGAGAACCATAAAAATAGAAGAGGAGGAGGAATAAACTTTAAAGGGATGAACATACGAGATCATATTCCGCGTTTGGAATTTGAAGCAAAATACCGCGCTTTGATATGCAAAGCGTTGCAAGTTTGCACATTAAATCCAGATTTCATCATTTGCCGAAATTATTAAACTTTAGAGATGATTTTATCGAAAAACGTTACACGTTGGTTTGTTCGCAAATCAGAGCACGCAGTAATGATTATCGATCAGACGCTCACTTATTAGTGGCGCAGCACCGAAATAGCGGTCGTTTGTATATTGTTCCGGCTGCGGATGAAAGGCAGCAACAATCGGTTATTGTTATTATCGCCATTGAAAGCCGGCTGGTTTTAATCTAGCAGCTACGACCTAGCACTCGCGGCCCAGCACAAACACACACATCATCGGTGCACGCAGGCCGAAACAAATAGGCGTAGTGCTTGCCTGTGGCTGGTTGCAAGCTCTCCAGAAGCCAAGTCACGCCACCAGCCGGAAGTTTCTGCCGTTCGCTTCGCCTTTCTCTTATTCTCGTAGGTACACCTTTGCTCCCCTTTCCCCTGCACAACCCCTGCGAGGATCATAAAGACAAAAATCAGGAGCCTTATCGCGCTTCTGAATTTATCGCCATAACAACCGACGAGGGACACACGAGAGCTACTGCTGCCCCCCCCCTACCCCCTCCCGCTTATTCTTTCTGACCTCGGGCATCGAGCTCGCTCTCTTGCTGTACGTCTATATAAATGCGTCAGCCTCCGTGTGTCTTCAGATTGATCAACAGACGCCATAAGTCGCCGTTATCAGCTAGCAGCGAAGAACGACAAGGGCTAATGAATGCACATTTGTTATGAGAAAAGCCCAGACGACGATACGCACGAAGAAGACTCGCAGTTACTCGATTACCGATTCACGAGCTCTCACAAATGAATCGTTACAAAATGAACCGAATGAATCCAATCGAAATGGCGGGCACATGAAGCGCGCAACCGCATCCATAAATAACGCGCGGCAAAAACGACCTCAGCTAAATAATACTGGAAGTGCTTCGCTTCCAGCATAACGCGACCAGGGTAAAGCCTCACAGGTAAAGCCTCGAGAAGAATGAGAAATTTACGAAATGACTTTCGCATAGGAAATGGGAAAACTAAAGTACAGCATAAATAGATTCAGCGAGCTTCGGAATTAATGAACTCCGAATTCGGCGAGGCAACCTTCAGCTTTCAACGCTGATTAACGACGAAAAAATGGAAATCGGAATTCGAAATCGAGGGCCGCTGCGGCCGTGTAATCGCAATAAGAAATCTCGCTACATCAGTGCTTTGAGCAAAGCCAAGCGCGTACAGTCGCGTGACCAGCTGTTCTACAGGTTGACGTATATAAAAAGGATACGCGTAAACATGAGCCACCTGTCGAAAATCGCTTTCTCGCGCGACAAGAGAAAATAAAGAGCGCGAGAAAGAAAATCCTCGATGAGAGCCGACTCGTGCCTGAAGGGAGAAGGAGAGGGGAAGAAAATGTCCTGTCGGAATAATCGGACGCTGGTTCGAGCCGAACAATTCAATTACCCAAGTCCCGGGACGGCTTGCCCCATTCGAGTGCTCGGCTTCCAGCTAGTTTGCCGAATCCCTGGTTTTCGGGACGTGACTTTCGCCGATTCAGCCCCGTGACTCATTCGCACTTGTACGCCGATTTGCATCTTTCGCTTTCGTTCTTGCTCAGTTCTAGACTTTTTTCGTTCGCTCATAAACTATGCATTAGCCGCGCCTCCCCAGCCCCGCCCCCGGAGTCTGTTCCCTTATATCCGACACGCAACAAATGTTTATTTTACATCTTTTTTCTTTCGTATGCTTTCGCTTTCCGGTGGTTTTCCCAGCATCAATCTTTCAGCCTGCGTTCGAGTGAAACGCTCGAGGATTATGATTTTCCATTCGGAACACATCCGAAGCAGAGGCCGCCGCACTGTTAATAATTCTAGATTGACAATTTAAATATCAATTGAAGTTTAATGTGATTGTCAACGTGGTGGTCGCCCGTAGAGGTCGCATGTCCGCAGGCGGCTCGTATAAATTTCAAATATTTCACAAGCTTTTACTCGCCGTGCAGCAAAGTTTTAACGGTCGTAGCGTTTTCCGCAGCACGAATTTATGCGTCCCTGCAGATAAGTTGAAATTAAAACGCGAGGGGCTCGCTCTCTTCATCTCTCATCCTTTTTCACTGCTTTACGATGCGCATCGTCCTCTGACTTATGATACAAACCACTTTATATAGCCGTTCACATAAATCTTTACTTTTCAAACGTCAACTTTATTCCTAGCACATTTATACGCACCGGTTATCCGCTCGCTGTCGCAAACTTGCACTCGAGATAAAAGAATTTTTTCGCTTTGCTCTCGGCTGCATCGTCATTTGATTTATGCATCTATGCGAATGAGTCAAAATTGCTGATGTATTACCACATTATGGAACGCGCTAAACTTGAAACTAAAAAAGTTGCAAGTTACGTGAAAAAAAGGTTGGCATTACACGCGCGTTGGTTTCGCTGTTGGCTGCAAAAATGTCGAGCGGCATATCGCGAATGCGGAAAAGTCGCGCGCGCGAGCGAGCGTTCCGGAGCGATTGGAGCAGTGGCAAAAGTTTTAGGTACTCGGCGATTGGTTTTTCTTAGTCGAGAACGAGCGGCAGCCAGGCCAGATCGGAGTTGGGCTATAAGTCGCGCGCGTCTTCGGCGCAAAGTGGCACGAGCGAACGAGGCGCGAAAACTCGACTGGCGCTACTTTATAAAGTTGTCGCGCCAAGGCACTCGTTCGCCGGCTTTCTCACAGTCACGGCTACTCAAAGTCTAACTGGCGCGCGATTAATTCTCCAGCAGCAGGATCAAGCAGAGTATATATATATATGTGTGTGTGTGTGTGTGTGCGTGTGCGTGTGTGTGTAGCTGCTTCGGTTTCTTGAGAGATAGTGCCGCCGCTGCTGCACGCTCCGCTAACTTGAGCCTCCTATATACATCGCGAACTTGCTCGCCCGTTCATTTACTTGTGCACCGAGCTACCGCCTACATCAATGAGCTGCTCGTTCACGGTGGAAGATTCAGACCACTCGATTCAATTTTACTTGCATCCAAGCTTTTCTAATTTTACCTCACGATCGTTTTTCACTTTCAGCAGGCTCACTCTGATTGTTAGCCAAGTGTTATTTTCGCAAAAACTCGCTGATTTATTCTCTGCAAGCTGAAAGTCTATTTAGTCTTTATTTTTTATACCTTTGTCGGTATTGCGCATCCAACTAGAGAGACTACACGTATGAGAAAAGAATAACAGAATTTAACAGAACATGAGTGATTATTGTTACTACACAATAGGATTGGCGTTGTAGGTCGAAAGTCTTGAAGTACTCACAGTTTGAACTACATTTTTCGAACGTGGGAGCAAATAAGATGTATGCCTACGAAAGTATTTTTTTTTTTAGTTAGAAACAATGGATTGGTGTCGTTGCATCGAGCTGCTCTGAACTATTTCCTCGGAATAATACTTGAAGCGAGCGTAGGCTCTTTGTTTGTCGCATCATTCAGAAGGGTAAAAGAGTACCGAAAAGATGTGTTACTATTCTTGCAGCAAATCGCGCGCGCATGTGGGAGGCACGTGTAGGTGTGTCCTCTTTCAGAGCTAACACTCTTCCTTTTCTTTGTATGTTGCAGTCGGTGCTCTAAAACTACTCGAGATAAGCGTTCCGCCGTACCTCCGGAGAGGTGAGTCTGCGCGTCTCGAATGCAGGTAAGAGGGCAATTCGTCCGCCTTTATTTCTTGCGTCTTTGCTCCATTTTTTACAACTGTTAACATGCATAAACGTTCATTTTTCTTTTATTCTGCAACAACTTCACTTTTCCCACGGAACCTTGCGTTTTATTAAATAACTTGATGTTTCATGCTAAATTATTTTACCGTAAAACGTGATGTTCATTCTTTTTCATGTATTAGGGATATTTTATTTATTTACAGATTCTAATAGAACATCGGTTTACTGCAAATTCATAATGTTATTTGTTATCAATCAATACTAAGTATGCACGATGTGTATAAAACGCTTATTCTATATGAGCCGCCGACGCTATCAAGAGTACGTGTTTGCGGTAATTAAATAACACGGTCAGATCGGTCATATTTTACCGTACGTCTATACGTTTGAACGGACGGAATAAAAATAAAATGAAAAAAATCGATACCCAGCGGAAATCAAAGGTGCGCTATAATATTGGCTTTCATCATTGTGCCGTATAGCATTTCAATGGTTTCCGAATGGAAGATAGTCGCGTAGAGTACCCTTAGTCGTTAGAATCTTCATTGAGTTGATCTACCTATTTCAAGAGACGGTTAACTTACTTTCAAAGTAAAAAAAATAACACATTGATAAAAAATTATGATTTGGTTTGTTAACAATTATTTCTGAATTTCATAGCTCGATTAGATTTCGATAATCAAAGAGATCCGATTCGCATAAAGTACATCGATGCGGAGGGTAAAGAATGCCACGAAGGTGGTTGAGGGCGAAGGGAGGGGTGGAAGTTGAGAAATTTGGTGTTCACGTGCCGCTCGTCTATCTTGGCGTTATCTTTACGAGATAGCTTCATTTATTGAGCGAAGTGGCAGTGTTCGGTACACGTCGATGCGACTTGACGCCGACGTGGCATGTCTCGAATGACATCGTGACTGACATACAGGCGAGCCGTCTTATGTGATTCTTTACAGGGTTTTACTATCCGCCACGTTGCCTTCTTCTCTTGCTTTGCTGAATTTTGCTTTCATGCCCGCCGCTTACGAGCGACCTTTAATTAACGGATATCTCGTGTTTATACGTGCTTTCTCATTATCTTTCCCATCACTTCTCGAAGGGAAAGAGAATGGATTCCTATAGAATATCTGGAACCTCGACTAGTAACGTTGACTCTTCTCTGTGGCGTGTAAAAATATTTATTTCGTGCTGTGAAATGTTATAACTGTAAATAGACTACAGGAGTATATACGGGGTAACCGAGAAGACTGATGTTCGATCCGACGTCCGCAGGATTATAGAAGCACAATGAGAAGCTTGCGTCGAGTCGACTGGAGAAACTACTAATTAACCGATATCCTGTTCGCTTGAGAGCAACTTGTTAATTAGCTTCCAAGCGCCAAAGTCTAGACAAATACATAAGGCTCCTTCTCGAACTGTGTATATGAGCATTGTTAATGTTTGTTGTATGCACGCTTCGCCTGCAACTATTAACTCTCATCTTTTGATTCAATAGCCATTTTTTGTCTACTAACTAGTGTGGGTTAAAATTACATTTTCAATTAGAATGTCTGTCACGTCGTTCATGCAGAGTAATTCATTTACTGAACATAAATTCTGAACAATATGTGGCAAAGAAACTTGTTGAAAACTGACGTTCGACTAAATAAAGCGCATATAACGCAGTGCGCATGTTCAGCTCTATTGAGATCGAGTACATATTTGCGAGAGAGAAATCGGAAAAATATATATCGCGATACTTGTCCGATAATCGATCTCGCACCTCTTCAGACATTTCTTAAGTGTCTACGTTGCTCCCCCTCTTTTTTCCAGCTTTCTCTCTCTCTCTCTCTCTCTATCTCTCTCCTTGCCAGAGCAGTGCCAACTCTGCAGTAATATCTCTGCAGAGATTTCCGTCTAGCCTCCAGCTCTTATTCAGACGCGTCTTGCATTCCGCCATAAAAGCAAAGCTTATAGCGGTGAAAATGGTATTATTGAAAAAATCTAGTCGAGGCATATAGAATTTTCCCGCTTTCTTGCTTGTATTTTGCCTTTGAGACGTTTAATTGATCCTGACCAGCTAACCAGTTCGAATCGCGTTCACTCGAGACTGCTCGTTAAGCAAGTCTTTATCAGTTAGCTACGTCTCGAAGAAAAGAGAAGTATAGTTGGAGTGAGACGAGCAGAGCTCGACTACGAGTGAACGTCGATTCGAAGAGATGAACGGAGAGTTGCTAAAGATCGCGCTCGATAGCGAACCGAGATAGCAGAAACGAAAGAAGGGAATCCCGTAGGAGGCGGCCCTCTGCAAATGAGCCGAGGGATGCAAATCAAACCCAAGTTGTGCGCAGAGGAACGTCTCTCTCTCTCTCTCACTCTCTCTCGAAACCTCAGCGGCAATCCCTTTCCCCGGCTGTGAGCGCAGCCAGCTACCCCCTGGGTACGAATGCCGCGCGTCACTGTTTCGCGTCGGCAGCCGGAGCGCGAATACGTCAGCCTCGTTATTACGCTTACGCCATATTATTGCTCCTGACAGCGAGCGCAGCGCTCTATGGTCCTCTGACACTTGACGGGGCCTCTTGCTCTATCAGTGTCCTGCTTGCTTTATCCATGCCACTCACCCCCCCCCCCCCCCCCGGCCCCGCTACTTCTTCTACTTCTACTTCTTCTTTCACTTCTACTTATCCACTCTGACTGTTCAAGACCCGGTGAACTTTTGTTAAAATTCTGACTTTTGTTTCAACCCTCTTAGAATATCGTCGAGTGCCCTCCTAATAAGTTACAGCGATCCATCAGCCGCGAAGAAGCCATAACGCCATTGATTTTATTCACATTATAGCACGCATCAAATGATCAAAACACACTTTGAGAGGCTTTTAAGCAACAACAAAATATTTCATTTCCAAACTGAAATATATTGCTATTTAAAAGAGATCGGTTAATTCATTCGGTTTGATTTATTATTTTCACGCGTTAGTAGCTCCGCTCAACACCACTTGAATATTAATAACAATATCCTCACATTGTGGAATTCGTTCAAATATTACCCTCATCAATATTTGATGAATGAATTGGTAGATACAATCACTTGCAATTTTAAAAAGTTTTACGATCCCCTCATTAAAAATGCAAACCCGTGTTTTCTTACTTATTCACTGTTTTCAATCTGCTATCTACGCGCGCGTATTTATTTTTTTCAGCCTCCCCGTCGCGATTCTTTGAGAGGATCTGGCTGCGGGTTGCTCCTTTGGGGATAAACGCTACTAAAATGAGTTACGAACGGAAGAATAAAGCAGGAGAAAAAGAACACCGATAGGTGCAGCGAGAGAAGGAAAGAGTGAGAGACCGCGTCGGGGATTGACGAAATCGAATATTTCCAATGGATTCGCACGCTGACTCGCTCCTTTGTTTTTTACCATCTTGCTGTTTTTTTCATTTTACAACTACGCGTATAGCAGGAAGGTTTACTGATATTTCGATATAACTTATAAAAGTAAATATATATGTGAAAAGTCAGTGCTGAGTTGATTCACAATCGAAATGACGTGTAGTCGGTCATGAATTTCGATAATTAAAAATTAAACAAACCACATTGATGAGCAAAATTCCATCGAATCAGGTATAACAAACAGCTTTGATGATGTATCCTTTTGAATTTCTTTTCGTGAAATTGCAGATCGCGAATCATTAACGTGGATTATGAGAAAATAAACATTGCAGTCGTTATTCAAGCCATTAGGCATTTCGCTAATTAATCAGCTGCAACATTGGCTATATTGAAATTTGAATAAAAACGGATTTACTAACGAACTACTTTGATTCTTTCTCGTTATAGGTACAACTGTATTTCCCATCAATCGCGTTGTAATTCATACGGTTATGTAAACGCATATAGTTGAGCCACGAAATAGCTTTGATTTACTATTACAATGATTATGTTCTGATATTATTGCATGTTTGAATTATATATTTGTTAAAAATTTCGAAAACCATATTGGAACTATTGCTCAGATAACAATTATCAAACCTCCGGATCTACTGCTAGTTACCATTATCAGTATGCTTTTTCTAAGAGTATAAAAATCTTCGCATATCAGAAACACTTCATTTTTCATAAAAATTAAAATAAAATCAAGAGTTTCTATGTCAACTGCGTGGATTTATAAATTTAAACAATGAGAGAATTCAAATCCAAAAGTCCCAATGTATACGAAGCTTCGCTATATACTTCTATATTTAGATTCATAGTTGGCGAAAAAAGTGTGTCTTAAAATAATTTAACCTAAATTTCAGATCGGATGAACTTTTAGCGATTAAATTTCATTATGCAGTTCGATATCTCTTAACAATTTTTAAAATAGTTAAAATTTTTATCTCGTATGATCGACGGAAAGTCATGCTTAAAGAATATTTATCGGCGTGCTCGAAACGTCCAGCTGACATGTTGCCTAGTTCAGATCTGATGCTCGTTGAAAGTAATTGTTTGCGATAAGTATTACGCACTCTGTGCTTGCAATTTTCATTCAATCTACTTGCGCGTAAGTGTGACCATATAATAATCACGGTTTTAATTAATTCGACAATTATTCAGCAGTGACGGCTAGCTTTAGAAGTTGTATGCAGATAATCCGCGCGAAATTTGTACGCGAGCAAATTGCTGCACGCCGTTGGACGAAAAACAAGCGAAAATTCTAGCGGGAATCATCTCGGTAATCGGTACAGGGAGTGGAAATTGGACGAATGGCTCGAGAAATACCGCGCTAATAGAGATATCTCGCCGATGAAATTCGCTAAACTCGAATGAAACTTGGCGAAACAGCCGTAATGGCAGCGTCAATGCGGGTAACTGGAGGCTGCTCCTCCTCTCCACTCCTTCGAGTGGTCAGTCTCGAATGCAGCGTCTCGCGGCGATTAGAATTCCACGCTTCGAGTATTACGGCTGAGGCAACGCGAACGCGCGCAATGGAATACCGATTGCTCTCTAGCTCTTGACAGAGAACAAAGCGCAAAGCTCAAGCAGCCACTATGCTATTTCCTCTCTCTCTCTCTCAAGACCAACAATCACCAGAATTCAAGCACTCATTCATCTCGCCATCATTTTAATAACTCAGATAGTAACAATTGACAATCAATGCCGAAGTAAGTTTCGTTAATCGTGCATATAATAACCGGACTATCGAAATGCAAACACTACCAACGACTACCGCTAATCTCTCACTTTTGGTCACCGGTTGAACATACGCGAGGATAAATTCTCATATCATTCCAAAATCGTTAACACGTATATTACAAACATTCGGCTTTTTGCAAGTTTTGCAGCAAATAATACAATAAAATAGTCAAAGGTACAAGGTTCACTCCACGTGATTGGATAATAGATATTGGTTAAGTATCAAAGGCGCTATAGCTGTATGTATATTGTTGACGATTGAATTACCAATAGACATCTGACCTGGAGGCCGTCGGCTCCTTACGTAAGTATTATATCGAATTTCGTTGTCGCGGCAAAAGCTTCATTTCAGAGGCCGATGCCAAATAATAAACTGCAGATTCCTTCCCTCCCTCCTCTTGCCAGTAGCCTGGAATATCCTACAGACAGTTATTACGATGACGCTTTACCTCGTGCTTCGGTTTATATCGATCGATACTCTTCATTTTTGTTGATTAAATTCAAGCTTTGCTGTGTAGCGTCACAGGATAGATTTAATGGCAGTGTACTCGTAATTTTGAACGTCCATATATCATCGCTAAAATAAAACCAGTCGTTTACGGCATCACGCCGTTGATCGTGCAAATTATGGATTTTTATATTATTAAACAAGGTATAACAATTTGTATTATTGCTTTCTGTTGCAGATACGACTTGGAATCGGATAAGCTGTATTCAGTAAGTTGGTACAAGGATCACGAGCACATCTACAGCTATCTCCGCAAGTCTGGCACGAAAAAAGCTTTCACGGTGGAAGGAGTCAAGATAGACGTGAGTAAACTTATATCTCATTGAGCGCAAGACAGAAGAGCGCGCGGCAGCTTGGCTAACGATTACTCGCGGTGGAAAAACCTCGGAAAATAGCTGCGGGCGAAGGAGTCCACGAGCGCGGTGGTAGCTCAGGGTCGAGAGTACCCTTTGAAAATTTATCCTGAATAAAAGCGGTCGCGCGTTACGCCTTGGTAAGCTCTCAAAATTCCAAGCTTTGCAAGTGACACAGAGACGACGACGCTTACAAAGCTGTCGCGCGCGAGGGCTTGCGCGCGCGTAGATCCCCCTTGTGTGACCGCACAGTGGGATTCCGATTACCACGGAGGTCACACACACAGTTACTGCTGCTTACGCCCAAGCAACTCGACAAAGTACGGCCCAAGGCTTGATCTATACTCGACGATTTCGCGGCAGTCCATAGCTACGTAACGTAGCCCGCAAACGAAAGAAGCATCCAGCGCGCGCGACTTGAATGATTTCCAGCTGGTCTGCCTCTCATCTGTTCTTTGAAGATTGATGGGTCGACTACGAGCTTCGATTACTTCCTTCTATCTCCGGACTCGAGCTTCTTTTATTTCGGGCACACAACCTATCCTGCGCGAGATCCGTAATGGATGTGCTCATCAAAATATTATCGCATCCGAGCAAATCACTCCGTGGTGAGCGCAGTGCTGTTTGTCTTAATGTTTTATAAGGCGTTCGTCGGGAGCGACGCCTTCCCTTTAAATTTTAACCAATTCTGAGTCTAATAACGTAGCAAAGAAGATATTATTTCAATGATGTATTTTAGTCATGAAACGTCGTAGTAGCTCGCAAGATCGATTCCCTTGGTTGCCAGTGCGCTTATCGATCTGTCCGGGTACCGCACAAACGAACGCTCGTTTGCACCTCCCATAGCCAAGCTGAATAGCCTTCTCGGCTTTGCGTCTTTGTGACTCAAGCGGGGTGTTACTCTTTGACTTCGAGATCAGCAGCACCAACAGTAGCAGCAGCAGCAGTTGGCGTTGTGCAATTGAATGTTGCGCGGCTGAAATCAGTATCAAGAAGCCGAAGCACTTGCGCGCACAGTCAGTGACATTAGTCTGCGTCTAACCGTTATAGGCACAAATATAATTAGTAAGAGGTCCATTGCCGAGGCGAGATTGCACAATTGCTACTGGCATTCCAAATGAAACCTAGACGCTTCGAGGAAGCAAGCAGTTCGTAGCGATAAGCTTATACAGCTATATGCATGAGCAAAGCAAGGCAGTCGAGAGAAAGAGGGAGAGAGAGTTGAAAGCATTTCGTAGCAGAGATTGCTAATTGCTTATAACTGGGTTATTCATTAGACTGAATCGATCGATTGTTGCCGCTCTCATCTTGGCTCGGCCAAGACCGAGCTTGCGTGATTATATTAAGCCATCGTGATTTCTCCCAATCACCTCTCCTCTCGTTTTATCCGCCAGCATTCACTCGACATTACGAGCTGCTAAAACCCCTCGCGATTGCGCAAGACAATCCTAAGCTTTGCCAAATGTACCATATCTATGCGCCGCACGACTCTTTAATCTCTCGCTAATCGAATGCTGTAACCCAGCCATTTGCATGCACTCGCCTACCTCGAGTCATTGCCCACTAAAGAAAAACAATCATTCTTCCCGGAGGAATACCAAAGCAGTCCAAATGCAGCGTTTCGCTGAAACAACGTCAAAGTAGCAAAAGTATGAAGTCGATTTTACTCCCTTTGTCCCGGTAAGTGAGCGAAAGAAAGAGGGCGATGTTTCAGACCAAAGTAGAGAAAGTTAAAAGATGCACGCGGGCTCGAAAAAAAAAGATAGAAAAGAGATAGAAAAGAGTTTTCACAGCGATAACAATTGCAAGAAACTTTTTCTTCTTTCAGTTCTTGCTTGCCTTTTTTTCCTTGACGCCTTTACTGAATTGCTTTGGTGTCCATGATTCTTCCTTTAATGCTAGTTCGTAAAACAATGTGCCGAGCCTTGACTAAATGATTCTCTGTGGATTATCAAGCTTTATACCTTATAATACTTATAACTTTGCCAGCAATACTCGTAACTTTTCATTAATTCAATTTTTTCACGCGATTTACCAAAAGTTATTAATCGCCTGCAGTGAGATTTTATCAGTCACCAGTCCAATAACCACAACGAATAAATTCAATTTTTGCGAAATACGACATTTTTTTTGCAAACATAGGGAAAAAAATGGATCCTCAGCATTACAATGCATTCAAAGCGCGCTTCATAAAAAGTAAACTTCTTGTACCAGCCGAAATTTTAAGAATGAAACTAATTTGAATGCCAAAGCGTGCTGATGTAAAACAAATTGGAAGCGATGATAATTTTGTGAGCAGAAAGTAAAGTATTGATGCTGGATATAACCTTCCGCGGGATGACAATATTTTTCTTAGCTTCAATCGAGACGGCACCGAGCCAATAACCCAACTTTCGATCTCGAGCAGCGTGCCCTCCAGCGTAAGTGCGTGAAGACGAAAATAGAACGAAACTTTAGGGGAGTTGCTAGCGCGTATACTCGCATCCCTTGGTTTTTCAACGGCTTCCGATATGCAAATAACCAGACTCGTCGTCAGCTCTTTTGTTTTTTTTTTTTTTCAAAATCTCATTCTATGATAAAAGTTTCGATGTTCGGAATGGTAAAAATCATGTTTACAGGATACATATAAAGATATAGGAGTCCTTCCGACCTTGCGTAAATTCATTGGATAGAAAATAGCCAATTTTATAAATAGCATTGTGTGTTACAGATAGAAACGTTTAACTGTGTTACAAGGAATTTATAGATTAGAGATTGAATTGGTCGGAAATTGCATTGAGCTGTCGTGTGATTTCTCCACTAGCTGGCAATAGTAGAATACATGCCAGAACGGTATAACGATTACTTACGGTGGAAAAACCTCGGAAAATAGCTGCGGGCGAAGAAGTCAACGAGCGTATACATGGATATAGCGCAGCAGCAGAGCGTGCATAAGTGAATCGAATATCATCGACGTTTTCCAGAGTCACTTGCTTTCAGTTTGCATCTTTATTGGCCAATGCAAGCAAAACTTGCGTATCAAGAATTGCGGTAGAGAGTCGCATGCGAGTAGGCACGATATAACTACGAAACAGCGACAGCGCATGATACTTTATACGCAGTAAACTGACGATTTTAGCCACTGTACAAATTATAAACTTATTTTTTCACTAACACGTAATCAATTGGTAATCAATTGGTGCTAATTAAGACTTTCGTTTTAATTAGCAAAATGTTTCAGATTATCGACGCAGTTTTGAAAAAATTATCTAGGCTATGCGATTTTACACATGTATTGTTTGGGCTTTTGCGTAAGACCGAAAAATTCGTCACCTTGTCGTGCATACATAATACATACAATAAGTTATTGATAATATCTTTCATCTGGAAGATTATCTTTCTAGATCTAGATAACTATACTGCAAGCTGCACTACTACATGTATCTACTGCTATGTATATGAGTCGGACTGGTGTTCATAATACTTAACCTAATACGTGGAGTCGAGAATTGGAGTGGAATCAAATGTTCATTTTGTAAAAGACAAATACGAGCGCATAATACATATATATGAATCTATAATCTTAGATCAGTGAGTGAAATTTCTTGCTCTCATAGCACATCGTTTTAGAAAGGAGAACTTCATTCTAGACTATAAAACCTAGAGATAGTTCCAAAATGATTATTCTTACAGCTGCATACAAGTGGTTAGGAACTGTAATGAAAATTATTTTTACGAAGCGCCAACTTTCTGTCGAACCCATCGATACAAATAGTTCAAAATTGGCGCTTCGTATAAGCAATTAAAATTACAATTTCTATGCACTTGCATGCAATTATAAAAATAATCATTTAGAAAATATGTATCTCTAGATTTTTTCAGCCTACTACTATAATGTTGTATCTTTTTAAAAGATAAAAAACGGAAATTCTTATTAGTCGAGATAGCAACCTAATGAAATTTCCATTCGATAAGTATTCATCGGAAGTGACAGATAAGAAGAATTAAAACAAAAATTTACTTTCTCTTGAAAACGAACTTAGTTTAGTTGAAAGCTTTCTCAATTTTTAAACGTTTAAAAAATGATTACAAGAATAATAAGTAGTAATACGTATTATTCTTGTAATTTAAGGCTGAATCATCTAAATTATTGTTCCCGCACACCAATAGAGCAGAATACCAGTTGCGAAAAAGCTGAGTAGCTGGATGTTAAGACTCGGATCGTTTTCACGCTCTAATTGCAACTATAAAGGATGTAATAATACACAAGCTTTTCTACTGAGAGAATTGCTAAGTATTACCCGGACCATAATAATAGAAGTGAGCTTCTATTCGCCAGTCAGGTTTGCTAATAAGCAGTTCATCTTGCTACAAAGAAGATATTTTTTGTTCGATAGCAAATTATAAAACTCATTGTACTCGAGTAGACGAAATTCAAAATGGTTTCTAAGAGATAATTAGGTCGCAGAATTTTCCGCATGAAATCCGTGGCTGAAAAAAGAAAATTGGGAGCTGGACTTTAGCGGGGCTGCATTGGCAAATGGATGTTTGCATGTCGACGATTATGGGGAGAGGCCGCAATTAACTTCTTCCTGTAGTCAAAGGAAATTATAAATTAATTGAGCTATTCTATTGAGATTGATGAGGTCTGGATGCCGAGGAGAGAAATTTACGCGAGCACGATCCAGGCACAGCTCGAGCAGATTTTGATAGTTACCGAGCACACAACCACAAGAGAAAGCAGCTACTTCCAAGCACCTTCCGCTCATCGGGCCGATATTGATCTATGCAGTTGCCCTCTATTCCCCTCCTCACCAACATAAATACGTGTACACATACACACAAACACATACATACACACGCACACGCTTACACATCAACGAATAATAACTAAGGCGGCTCGCACGAGAGTTACGCAGCTTTATTACCAGGCAAGCATCATGCTTCGGCCACGGCCATTCACGTTGCATCTCCATGCGCAGTTCACCCTCGGTCGGGAGCTTTCGAATAACGGAAGTCGTTGCACTTTCGAGCCTTGCAGTCCTTTGCTCACGGTCTACGTTGTCACTCTGTCCATCTGCGCATCCAACTTGAAATAAAGCGCATTTTTTTATGTCGTTCCATGATGTAACCATTTTTCATTATTATTACTATTTTTGCAACTCTACGGGGGCTATGCGTCAACAGATACATTTAATCCGCGTATACATTTCAATTAATTCAAATTTCTTTACTGTAATCATCAAATTGAACAGTTGTTCGTGCATAATATATAAGTTCTTTCTCATGATCGAGCATTAAAGTATTTATTTTTATTACTATTTCTTGTTTATTTTGTTATCCATGTTGTGACTGAATATTAATATCACGTCTACATGTTTTAAAAATCTCCTTTCGTAATCTTTGCTTCTAGAGCTTTCTTATTAAACATTTAGATGACAGTAAGATAGTAGAATTCATTTAAAGCTGCATAATTAATAATGTATTTGAGCCTTTTCGAAGACTTCACTTTTATAGAACACTCGATATCAATATTATATATTACTTTTTTTAGAAAATCTTGTTCGATGCATTTTTTGCAAAACGTGGACGAGATAATTTTCAGTAATGAGTAATCCTTACGACTCATTTAGAGTTTCCAAAAAGAGATTCCCTACACTAACATTTGCATTTCACTTCGCAAAGTGAGTACTTATTCACAATCGTCCTTGAATTCGGTTTTACAAGTTGTTTCGTGCAGTTAATACAATCCAGTTTTAAGTATTTATCTTATGTTCAATAAATTATATAAGCAGAGGCTTTCTACATAAAAAGATAGCGTACACTGGACAATGGATATCGGACGTGTACCGAGATTATATCCACATAAAAAACTAAGAAGAAAACAATTAAGAACTTTTAAGAAAACAATTATTATGGGTGGAAATATCAAAATTGGTCACTTGACAATATTGATAGATTGATTTTATATTTGACAGATAGCGGTTCTTATTTGATGGACTGAATTTATTATTAGTCTAAATATACCGAGTGAAAAAAAAGCAACAACAACGATTTCGTTAAAGTAAATTGAAAATAGCTCTGCGAGTAAAATGCCAGGAAAAAAAAGAGAAAGAGCTAAATTTCATTTTATTTGAAGCAAGATAAAGCACCAGTGGGAAAAAGGGAACGAGACGAGAGAGAGAAAGCTATATATATATATATACATTTATATATGTAAAGAGAGAGATAGATAGATAGATGGAACCTCTCGGAACTCCGAGTAATTTCTCATTATTTCATTACCTACGTAAAATCTAGGGAATACTGAAAATGTTCATTTTGCAATTCAGTGGAAAAAGAGAGAAAATAGAAAATGTACCGCGGTAATAAGGCAACGGTGAAGCGGTTAGGAAACGGAAAGTGGTGGAGGCGTAGCGCAGTACGAAGTGAAGCAAAAAAAGAGCAAAAAAATTACGATAGAGCGGGAACGATAAAACGAAATAGATTTACGTGTACGATGAATACCGCATCAATGATTCAACGCGAATAAGAGAAAATGAGAGCCCGCGAATTGCTTAGCAAACTCGATCGTGCAACGCGGCAGCACAGGCGATTTCAGAACATAGCAAGCTCGAGTAGATAATGGCAAGGCAAAGTTTGACGAAAGTTGCGGGGCAAATAATTTGAGAGGTCTAATTAAGTAAACAATGCGCCGGAAATGAGCCGACGACAAGTCGAGCAAGTCGCGCGCATGGGCAACAAACAGAGGCAAAGCCTCAAAGTAGAGGAAAACGCGCAGGTATGATAGAGAGACGACTGCGGACAAACTGAAATTGAGTGACTGAGAGGGGGGGGGGCGAGCTTTGCCGAGAGGCAGCGCAGGATATTCAAATGCAATTTTGTCCAGTAAGAGAGAGCGAGAGAGAGAGAGAGAGAGAGAGAATGCATCCAAAGGAAGTTTGACAATGAGAGCGAGCCGCACAGTGATTCCCACGAGCTGTTCGTCGTCGCGCATATATAAGGACTACGCATGGCCCATGGAGACTGCCGCACGAGCGCTCACAATGATAAACTCCGCGGCAAAGAGTTAGCCGTCGTTGCTGTTGCAGCTGCTTCGTTTCAGCCGTCATCCGGGCGTATTGTTGTTTATAGCCAAGCACCACATGCCAGCGACGTGGCGGAGGCAAATGTAAAATAATGGATCTGCGCAGCGCGGGCACTAGTAAAAAAAAGGAGAGCGAGAAATAAAGTAAAGAGGCAAGGGATGCAGGACCAAAAGGCCGCATCACCGCTATTATGCCGCCGCGCGGCGCCAACTAGTTTTCATACACGACGCTTCTCCTTTTTACGGTGCCGTATTTTCCCCCGCCTACCCTCTTTTGCTCGCTTGCTTGCGGCTTATACGATGTAATCATTATAGAAAGCAGGGAAGCACGCGATATATGCGAGCTCGTAGAAAGCTAAATTAACGGCATCGATTTCTCTTTGTTTTAGACGTACAAATCCAACAATCAAGCTCTGCAGCTGCTCAACGTCAGTCTCAATTCAACCGGCTATTATGCTTGCGAGGTGCACACCGAAACCAAACCCTTCAAGTCTGTTAAAGGCGACGCTTACATGGAAGTTGTAGGTAAGCCGTATTTCATTCTGCCTTTTTTTCCGCGACGAGTCCATAATATTTTCTAACGAAGAAAAACAGCTCGGAGAATTTTTACGCACGTCCCTATAAATTATGCTTCTTACAAAAGAGACTGCTATTTAAGTGCTTTAGATCTCTGGAAAAATCTAAGAAATGCGTCACCTAATTGATTTGTTAAAGATGAGACAATTCTCGGGCTTTGGAAATGAAAGGTCTTATGGTTGTCTGACGAAATATTTACTCGTACCACTGATATACTTTCCTGTTCGGCGTTACAATACATTAAAAGAAAATGTAAATCTAACTTACATTCAATTAACTATTTATTTATTTATTATGATTTCTCGTACTGAATAAAAATCACATTATAGTCATAAAAACCCTAATGAACTGAGTACCATGAAGTACGTAACGGATATAGTCACAACTAAACTAAATGAGACAATTATTTAAAAAAAAACTCAAATATAAATTTTAGATATTTTGATAGATGATAGATATGGAAATTGGTAGCTTTTGCATAAACGATAAAAGTCGTGAGAGGCCGATTTGGCTGGTTCACAAGACGTTTGCTAGCGTTAAGTCAAAAGAAGAGGTGGAGTAAGCGTGCGCGCGGTAAAAGGAGCTGCAGAAAGGAAAAGGACTGCAAAGTAAGGCGCATTATGAGCATGATTGCTGGAACGACGCTGGTCTGGCTGTTCGCCTACAAAGCCTCTTACACTTACAAGTAGCTGCGTGCTCGCACCAAATTACACACACGTGAATACACTCGAGAGTCACGGCTCGTTCTTAAAGCTCGCTGCCGACACAGTCAGTTGGCAGGCAAGAAAATGCTGTCCAGTAATTAAAATGCTAGTATCGCCGTAATTAAGCGAGCCACCTGAGCACCTCATTTAAAGCCGCTATGCCATCGTCAAGTTTACTTTCGAGCGGCAAGCGTTTATTAATGAAAAGCGCCCAAGCGAGAAACTTGGCCGTTACGCCTTTCGACCTATCGGCCGCGCTAATGCCAATGCACTGGCGCAGCCGCAACTGTACGAACGCGTACTGGCACACAGCAAACAAAGAAATGCATGAAAGGGAACTAGCGAATAGCGCGACACAGGCTGACCACGAACGACGTCCGTTTCCGCGATCCGACCTATTGAAAATTTGCGACGATTTTTCTGTTGGCAGAGGTACCACGGGAAGATCCGAAAATCACTGGCGAAGAGAAGATTTACGCCTCTGGCGATATTCTGGCGCTCAACTGCACCAGCGGCTTTTCGTTTCCGGCAGCTCAGTTGCAGTGGTTCGTCAACGATGTTCCGGTAAGTTTAACTTTTCTACCTGCAATCTTCTTTCCTCTTCGCCTTGCTTCTCAAATTCTTTTTTTACCGTCTCACTTTTTTCTTTCGACGTTGCACTACACAAACTAGCAGAAAAGAAACAAATGATTTACAGTTAGATGATAAGATAATTTTGAAAAAGTGATCTAGATACAAAACTATATATTTTTAAGTACTGATTTCAGCGATTTATTATATGTTTATCCAGTAAAACATTCCAAAATAAATCATGATGCTTTTCAATTCATTAGCATGCTTTTAAGTAATTATCGTTAGACTGTTTGTATAAAAATATATTACGCGTTGATTCTGTTAACAAAAAAAAAAAAATAAAGCGGCCAGAGTAGAGCAACATTTGATTGGTCGTTGAAAAATGTACATACTCTCGAATTCCCTTTGATGTCAAGCTGCTGCAAGCGACTCAAAAGTTTATGCAAATTTTTTAGCGGCTCCATGTAAATATCATTAAGCTGTACTTTGCACAGAAGCGTTCTTGATGAAGCAAAGCATCGTCACACATTAATTGCAAAGTCGACTTTCTTTTTTTAACTGCATTTGCAGCGGCTTATAAACGTGCATTGAAACGCCGATGAAAGCTCGTTTTAGTCGTTTAGAAAGCGAAAGAAATGCAAGGCGCAGGAACATTGAAAAATGTGATTGAAATGCGAGACTCGGTAGGACCGTAAAAAACCTTGTCTGAAGACAAATTCTGATTCGCTACGAGAATCAGGTGTATAAGAATTTTATTAGGATAGAGATGCGGGTCTAGAGTAGAGCATTTCTCAAGAATGAACTCGGCCAGTACTTTTCTTAGGCAGGTTACTTACTGATAGATTACACAAAACGATAAGCTAAAACTCGTATAAAAGAGATGGTAATAGCACTAGCATTAGCAGCAGCAGAGCGGTACGACAGTAAGTGAGACTCCACGTAGATGCAATCGGAGCGAGGAAAAGGGACGGGACGACGGGGAGGGGGTGGCAGATCAAGACCTGTGACGGAGCTTTCTCTCTCTCTCAGTGGCTTAAAAATGATTTAATCTCCAGTTACTCGCACTCCTGGCCCGTTTATCTCTTTAGCTTCCATTTAGCCAAGAGGAGTCATCGAGGCTTGGCCTACACGACGATAAAGTCACTCCTCTTTGAGAGGCTTATAACCCAAAGCCAGATTAATATAAGTCCGCCGATGCCGCCTCGTTAATTGCAAAGTTCCGTTATCATCCTCTCGTTCACTCCACCCCCTCCATCCGCACTCGTCTTCTTTCTCTCTCGCTCTCTCTCTCTCTCTCTCTCTCTCTCTCTCTCTCTCTCTCTCTCTCTCTCTCGTTCCTATTTTGCAGTGTTCCCGAGCCAACAAATTTCGCGACGCGCAGAAAATCCCGTGCACGCCGTGCCCTCCCCCGCCGGCCTTTTAGAAACTAGATCCAGCAGCTATATAGGCAACAGACAACTGCGCTCGCTAATGAATTCTCTTTATCGTGTGCGCCTCTGTACACAGCTGTACCTCCTCCTCCTTCCCATACCCCTTCCTCGTCTCCCCCTCGTCGCCTGTTTCGGCGCCAAAAAATAAAGCTCTTTGTGGTTGCCAAAGTGTTTGTCTTTGATGTCGAGACGATTACTCGTCCGCTTTGACAACACCATGTTATTTTACTGATTAACATTTGATATGATTTGGTCTCGCTGACTTCAATCACGTTTCTTCTAAATTTACTATCGTCAATTGATGATCGATTCCGATGAATGGATAATGCCGGGCGTTTAACCCAATTCATCAAATGGTAGCTGCTACAATGCCGCACTTTAAAACTGTTACTAATTACAGTAAGTGGTCTCTCGTCGCGTCTACAGGAGCTCGCGTTCTCTGAAAAAATCGATACATTGCTAGCGACAATTGTGGTTCAAAGCCCGTTATTTACATAACATTCTTACTCGCGCGACTGCAGCAAGAGAAGAACCCTTACCTGACACTAAACTTAGAACAACTCCTTTCCTTCTAATTTAATACGTCGGTTGAATTATTGTGTTTTGCTTATCGATTACTCTCGGTATTACTACATTTTATCCCTCTAAATTTTTTATTTATGCTTACTTCATCTTCGGTACACTATTCCATTTAATTCAATCTCTTCTCAATTTATTTACAGATTGACGATCCAGACCAGGAAGTCATATTCTCTACCTCGCGAGGCCTTCACAGTACCAGATCGAGTCTCCGATTAGAGCTCAATCCTTTACATTTAGCCGAAGAAAGGATTCAAGTGAAGTAAGATACTCTTCCGTCTATATATAGTTAATAATATTTCTAGCAAAAAAAATTACGATAACTATCTAAGATTACACAAGAAGAATTTTTTAAATTTATTATTGTACATTTGCTACAACTAATACTGAACAATGGAATAACTTTTGTTTGTGCAGGTGCATTTCGACTGTACGGACTACAAATCCAGAAGCACCTTTTGTGGATACGCGAATGACAAAAATTTATGGTAAATATATATTTCTATTTTATGTAATTTGTTATTTATCAAGATTTTTACAATTCAAAAAAGAATAACATAAAGGTTCTCCACGAGTACACTTTAGAATTTCTTTGATTCCAAATATTATAGTTTAGGCACCTTGTCTATTGATAAAATATTACCTCCACATCGTTACAGAAATTCTAAAGAGAGGACGCTGATTCTTTTGTTCGTCTTATAAGACCTTTCTCGATTTAGAAAATTTGAGATTTAATTGAATTTTCATGTCGATCTTGAGGCAATCGTGAATTATTGAAATGTTCGAAATGGACGTAAAAATCCATCAAGAACGGGAAATTCGAACTTTTCTTGGTGTTATATGATACCGTAAAATATCCTTTGGAAAGATTTTCTGATACAGTAATTAAAAGTAATAGAATGAAAGATCAAAGTGCTGTGAACAACTGTTATTAAACGATACAGCATCGTAATTCCTCTGGAATGAAATTCACGGAAATAACCATTGGATCAGATTTAATTACAAAGCTGGTTTATTAATCTCATCAAGTCGTACTGAGTAATTAAGCAAACGAGGAAAGGCTCGATAAACGGCGAGACCGCAAACGACAAAACGAAAGGGGGCGACACTCGCGCAAGAAAAACCCCGTAAAAATATCTGAAAATAAAGTGTCGAAAGCAAAAAGTGTTCGGCGATTAACGACAAATTACCGGTAAGCTGTAGCTGGTGGAAGGGCAAGCTGGATTTTCTGGCTGGCGCGGCTGGCGTTCTTGTTTGGTGGCTAGCGGAATAACGAGCTAGCTCGTCGAAGCCCGCGAGCAGTCGTGTCGTGTGCGGAATCGATTTCTGCGGCTGCCGTTGCCGCTGCCCGCCAGTCGAGCCACGAATTAACAATCGTTCGTTTACACCCGCGCCTCCGCCACTTAAGCAAATTAACGGACTTTATGGATTTGCAAGTCCATAAAATTAGCCTGCCTCTCTGGCGTACCCCCTGCCCGCCCGCCCTCCAGCGGGCACACCTTTCCTATGCCGCTTTCCACCTTCGCCACGGACTGCTATCGCCCTGCCGCCCTTTCTTATTTTCCCTCGCCTGGCGCACCATTCATGTTGATTCTTCAAACAATTTCCTGCTTTCGTAAGGTTCTTTTCACCTCCCCTCGTCGGAACTTTCACGTTATTCCGCTGCAATTTGCCCCGACAGTGACGCATAACGAGGCTCCTCCACGATGGCGATAGGCGAGTTGCTTTCCTCGACTGTTGTTTTCTTAATCGAATACCGCACTACTACTCACGGGCGATTACCGTGTCCTTGATCGCGTGGACCCACTATTGCTCGCATATGGAGGTGTAACAAGTTGAATAAATGTGCGCGATGCATGGCCATCCACGTGCGAGTATAACGAATTCAGTTCGCTTTGAGAATTATCGAGGGTGAAATGAGTAGGAAGGAGGTGAGTGCAAGCAAGCAGGCAGGCAGGCACGCGCGGCAAGAGAAGAAAAAAATGAGATGCGAGGCGAGGTGAGCGTCGGGCACGAGCATCGGGTCGAGGCGGCGGGCGTGCGCGTGCAGCAATGCGGGAAAGAAGGGGTAATTCGAATGCGGGCAGCGTGCGCGACGGAGAATCGAGTCCATCACGGCATCGCATCATCTGGGGCTGGAGCTGAGCGGCGCTGGGCCAGGCCACGGTGATTTACAGGTTGGTGCATTATTTCGCACGAGTCATTTGGCGCCTATTGATTGGGAGGGAGGCGCAATAGCCGAAACCCATTGACGAAGTTGCGAGCGAGGGAGGGAGAGAGAGAGAGAGAGAGAGAGAGAGAGAGAGAGAGAGAGAGAGAGAGAGAGAGGAAAAGAGGGACACAGAGACAATGATTGGTCGCTTATTAACGATGCAGAGTACCGTTCGGAATGAATCCCCTAGAGGGCCTGCGGCAAACGTCGATTCACTGACTATTGCCCGAGCGCTCGCGCTTGTATACAAGATGACGACATTGTGCAAGCCGTCGAATGTACCGAAGCCCGGCGAATTAATCAAGCGACGGCCGCGCAGTCAACCACATCGTGCTTTACAACAGCTTCGATACGCTCTCTCTACCACTGATTGTATACTTGTTTCGACCAATGCCACGCATCGCTATGCCATAAAATTTCTACGTGCGCGCGCGCCACCCACCACATCCTTTCACTCGCATCGCGCCTATGCCATTTGCCAATTATACCTCTGCAAACTGTACGCGCACAAATCGGAATCGAGCCCGCGGATACTTTGGGAATCGGAAATGTCAGCTTTTCAACGAACTCATCAGCCTATCTTCTTTGTTCCGTTGGGACGCTACGCCACATGGATGGAAAACAAAGCGAATAACGTCAAACGTAGCAAGAAAAACACACGGAGAGAGAAATATGAGGCACGAAGCACAAGATGCTGCAAATTCAAAGGCGGTTGGCCAAAACGGCATGGCTTATATTCTCTCGGAAAGGAATCTTCCGCAGCGGTTACGCGACCGAGCAAGAGAGCGAATGTTGGAAGAACGCTTGCGGAAGGCTGAGAAGCCGTAGATAGACTCGGCAGGAATTGCCCTTAACGATCTTCGATTTTCTCGTTAGGCTAAATCGTTCGCGAAATGCTTCTTACGTCGTTCGCTCAACTCGCACCTTTAACCTTTTTCTTTTTTGATTCCTTTGCCATTTTAGCTCTATAAGCGCATCAAGATTACAAATAAAATATAATGTGTCTTTTTACTTAATAAATCATAAATGAGTTTTAGTTGATCGATATAGTTTCATTTAATACGGCCTAGTAGCTTAGCTTTTTCAGTACAAATAGTTCTAACTTCGTCTTAAGTTTTAAAACATGTGTTAAATCAATCAACAGTTTATTGCAAGATAAATATTATTGACTTTCTGAATTTGCAAGCTAAAATTTATGTATTTCTCTTTATTTATAAGTTACTATATACTCAAAATTATTTATTATTTCCAATGTAATTCATTATTCTTTAAGGTGTTATAAAATAAGAATGTAGAATAATGTATTTATATGTTCTACAAATTAATCGTTACAGACGATTTAATCTTTAAAATACAGTTTTAGATAAAATTAAATGTGTATGCAGGTATGGCTGCCTATGAATAATTTCCTGTGCATTATTCTGTCCTTAGTTAATTTTTTATACAATGAATGCTTGTTTATGACTGTAAGTTATTTATTTATTTGAAGTGCTGAAATTGGTACTATCACCTTATGAGTCAAATTTACCAGTATCTGGCCATAACTGGCTATACGTATATTTCTTTGAAATATATAATTGTAGATCACATTACACTGTTAAGCTTGTATACTAATTTTATATAAAGTCGAATACAGATTATATTATTCTTTTTTCTTTTATTGGACAATTATTTATTTGTTTCAGTTCAAGGATACGCCAGTTTATCATCGCCATCGACTTCGCTGCTAATGTTCACACTATTGCTACTTACACTTTCAAGGAGACATTAAAAAGACAAAGAGAGAGCTTGTTACTGCTAGCTGGAAATGGGGCTTATGACAAATGGTGCCGCCTGGTATATGACGTTAATATGAAAAAAGAGAAAATTAATAGCATGGTTACGTGTACATGAGACAAAGACAATCATCAATCAATTTTGCACCAGCATCAAAGCTTTTCAGAAGAAAATCACTTTTCAGTTACGCAAAAGTTGCAGTAAGTACAGGCTTCCACATTTTTATTCAAGTTGATCGCGAAAGCCTATTAATGTCATTGCAACCACGATATATCGCAAGAGTTGTTATAACCATTCCTTTGAAAGTAAGAATTTCTTTTAAAGATCAGTTTGGAAAAATATGTTGCTAGTTAGTTAGCAAAACATGAGCAGAGTCTCACCTGAAGAGTATCAAAAGAATATATAAGTGTACATGTGTCTCTGAATATATACGGATAGAAAACAATATAGTACTTACTTAATAATTGTGCCTGAGTCAGTTCGTGAGCCTCTTATGGATATTAGATACATTGTAAAATGTTTTAAGCCAAATAATAATATTGGTAAATGAATTTTAAGATAAACAACCAACAAATGAAAAAATTGTTTCACTCCAAGATGTTGTCTTGTTGGTTTGGTTATTTTGTTTTAGCTTTGTAAATAAAATTATATAGTAGATAAGGTATTAAAAATAAAAGTATTCATTGCACTAAAATATATATTTGAGAGTGTATATAAGCAAGTGCGAATCCATTTATCAGTATAAACAAGTGTAAAATATTCATGTGATGCTAAAATATTTCTTTCAGCAAATTGGCTTACAAAAAGTGAACGTAAAAACTTCAAAACTTTCTTCCTCAGCGTACATCAAACTGATATTTCTTAAATCTATAATATTTTCATCACTTTCATTAGAATAAAAACTATTCAAATGAAAATCAAATTATTTTGACCATACTCAACTCCCGCATATATACTCAAAGTCTATATTTTTATTATTTCTTTGAGGTGTTATAAAATGGAAGTGTAGAATAATCTATTTTATATGTTTAACAAAATTAATCGAAACTTCCAATTTAATCTTTAAAATACAATTTTAGACCAATTAAAACGTACATGCAGGAATAGCTGCCTATGAATAATTTCCTGTGTATTATTCTGTCCTTATTTAATTTTTTTTATAATAAACGCTTGTTTCTAACTTTAAGTTATTTATTTATTTATTTATTTCAAATACTGAAATTGATATTATCACCTTGTAAGTCAAATATATCAGTATCTGGCTATAAATGGCTATAGATTTTCGGTGGAAAAAAAGCGCTAAAGGTAATGAAAAATTGATAGATCACGATGGCGAAAAATCAAAAAAACATTAATTTAATAAGTATAAACTTTATTGAAAATTGAATACATCTAAAAGTTGTCAAATTTAATTTGAAAAATATTAATTTTGAGTATTATTTTATTAGAACAAACTACAGTTATAGTCGCTAGAATATACGTCAATATGTAACTGGAAATCGCTGCTTAGTCTGCAAGCATAGACTTTTATCTAATCTCATTTCGTGGGCTCATTTTTAGTCACATTAACTTTAATATTTAATTAGTGCTAATTTTACGTTAAACGTTATTGAAGGGCAATAAAAAATTCATAAATTTATAAAATTGTAATGAGATATATTCGTTTTAATTTTATAGTATTGAATATAATTAATTAATTTTTATCTTTACAGTCTAACTTGCCTAATAATTAAAACTAACTGAAGGCAGCGCCGGTTGCTATACAATCTAATTTTTATTTTCATAGTTCATTATTAATGATAGAAAATTACTTTTTAAATAAAGAAAACGTAACATTTTATAAAATCTGAAAATGAAGGATAGAAGACCACTTATCAGTCATATTTGTGATTAAGGAGTAGATCAATATTTTTAAGTGACAGTAATAAATCCATCTGTTATCTTTAGAAAGAAAGTATTGCATGTACTCTTAAAATATTACTTAAATTTTACCAAAATTATCAAGTATTCACAAAATACAAAGACTTTTCCAAAGTTTATTATATTCATGTTGTTATTTTTACAGTAATTAATTAGTACATAATTTTGTAGCAAAAATAGCCAATAGTGAACATAGCCGAATCTTTAATTTTATTAAAAAAATATTCAATATTTGACTAAAATTACTGATAAAATTTTTATATAAATTAATTTTTAATCGAATAAAATAGTATTGAATATAAAAAAATATATAGATCTACTTCTCCGCTATTATTACGCTAAATAAAATTGAAGATCAAAGTGTGACAATACACTTATACCGTGTATCTTATTTTTAAGTTTTTTTTTAGCCATTTAATCATTGCCATCTGTTTCTGAGGAAGTATTTATTCAACGATTTTTTTACTTTACATTTGATAAAACAAAATTTTTTTTACTACGATATGTAATACGCACACAGTACTCCTCAGCGTTACATTACGCAAAGAATATTTTACGTATCTAACAAAAAAAAAGATACAAATATAGTAAACAAACATGGGAAGGAAAAAAGCAAGATCTCAGCGGATTTTTCATCATATTATTAACTTGACACTACTTTTCCTTCCTAGGTTATGAACGTGCTATTTTCATGTTACCAAAAAAATAATAATTACATTGTGGACGTGAAATCTTATATTCTCAGGCAAACCACGCGTGATTGTATAATATTAATACTATTGTTATGAAAAAATTGTACCTTGATAAGCATGTTATTATAATATTTTATCTATACAAATTTCAATTAAGTTTATTTTGGATCCTGTTATTGTATAATTTGTGGCATCAAATAATGTTATACTAAATGTATAAGCGAAAAATACTCAATCAATCAACTAAAGAGACGGAAACAGCTTAGTCGCTCTATATTAATACAAATTATGAATATTTATCAGAAATATGATGCACAGAATTTATGAATATGCTTAATATACATTTGTACAAAATATTTCTAATACGCCATCTACTGTTCATATATTCACATCGAAGTGGATACAGAAATAAGATATATATAAATATATATATGTAATGTAAGTGTACATATATAAAAATACATATTCATACAAATAGAAAGATTTAGGTAAACCAAAAAAGCTGTTACAATTGCATATATATACATGTGCTTTTTATGGTAGCGCAATCACAAAGAAAGTATTAAAAATACGGGCTTCATCTTCGAGTATAAGAAGATAATAACTAAAAGGAAGCTAAAATAAAGAAGCGCTCGATTCAGAATATCAATTAAGACACAATACTATTCTCAACGACAAGATATATTTTATTGAGAATTGTATTGAAATTGTTTATTTTTAATATTAGTAATGTTGCACGCAATGTCACGTTATTTTATTCAAAATTTTGTATATCATGCTACATAATTGAAATAATATAACATACTTTTTAAACAGAAACTGCATGATAATTTCAACAGAGCTTACATAATATGGCTGCATTGATTAAATAGATCAAATCATAATAATGATCACAGTAGAAATATATGTTGGCTCGGATTACGTGACTTACTCGCAAACATAATATGCGTTTTAATAGTTAAATATGCATTATTGTTAGCACAAAATATTATTCTTTGGAAATGAAAAAATAAGATAATGCCAAAACTAATAATTTTAATGGATATTAGCTTCGCAAATACTTATAGTCAGAATTGTTTATAGAAGTTATTAATACTAACGCACTTAATAACAATGTAATCTTAGTGAAGTATGCACATTTTTCTAAAGCATACAGATCATTACTAATGTTAAAATGAAAAAAAAAATATTGAATGAAAAATGGTATAATACTGAATGAAAAAATATGGTGCAGGAATTGGGTGTATGAGGGTTATTGTATCAACATTGTTGTCTACCCATGTAAAATCATGTGTATGGCCTAATGTATATAATTCATATATTGAGTAATAAATCATATTTCAATAATAAATTATGTTTTGAAGTCACTGTTTTTCCTTGAATCACTCCAAATAATTTTTCCTGACATGTATGTATTTATGAAAACATTTTTATTTCAGAAATGATCAGCAGTTCTATTATTATTTTTTGTCGGGGAAGTTTTGTACAATCACGATTATCTTGTGATCAAAAATTCATTTTTGCCGGTAGAATAAATTTGAAAATTGGTAATATGCTCATCAAACGAATATGAGTTTCAACGAAAAATATATACGTTAAATGATGAGCATACAAGTTTAGCGCTACAACTCTGCAAATGCAGGTAGGTAATGCATCATTCTATAAAAATTGGACAGAGAGGCTGGCTTCATCATTTCAGTTAAAAAAGAAGCCAGCGAGTGAGTAGTATTAAAATGCCTGTACTGCGTGTCCTAGCCGTCTTTTTTTACTACCAACCGAGTGAAATAGAATCGCTTCACTTTATCACCAGTCGTGCGCATCGCGCCATTGTGCACGGATTCGTAGATCGAGCGCAAGAGCGGCCACGAAATCCCCGAACATAAAATGCATTTTACGAGTGCTTTTCTCTCTCTCTCGCTCTCGCCCTCTGTGTCTTTCTCACTCACCCGCGCAATTGTCCAACTGTGGAAGCGAGCGACGCGGTCCACAGCTGAAGGCTCGCTCTTCGCTATTCGGGTACAATGTTACTATGGGTATGCGCTTGCCGCAAAGAATTTACTCCAGGTATTATGTCGCAGCGCGCAAATTGTCATATAATTGTGCCACTGCAATTTCAACCGGTTTCCCATGCTAGCCACTATTATGTGCTTATTATTTCAAATCATTTATTTTGAACTGCACTTGACAAATCCCTTTTTTAAACTATATAATAACATTCGAAAACGTTATTTTTCCACCCTTTTGCACATCTGCATTTAGGCTGTTGCCTAACTTTTGTTTGAATATTTTTGTCTTAAACTGAATTATCATTATTTTATTATTGAAAAATTTTGAAAGTTTTAAAATTATATAATGTTATGTATTATAGTTAAATAAATCTTTTACTGTAGCAAGCATTTTAGTAAATTTACCTTAGTTTATTTATCAAGACATTATTTTCGATTTATTTGGATAATTGATGTCGTTCTTCAATTATTCAAATACTGCTCAGAATCATGAGATTTTATCGTATCTGTCAATTGTGGCTTTACTTATTTTACTAATATTGATTTTGTATATAATTCATTTTTCGATGACAAATTCATATCCTAAAATAGCGCCAGATCAGACAAATCGATAATCATAAACAATTAATGTAATCTAAAAAAATATTGGATTGACGCCATTGGATTGAAAAAGAACAAATACGTAATACATAAGAAAATATAGACAGTCGATGACGCAGAACAACGTTCTCGAATCTACGGTAAATGAATACATCGACGCCTTTTTAAAATAAACGCAATATATTTTTACGACTCAGTCGAACCTGACAAACAGACTTTAACAGTAGATGAGTATTTTGCGAGAAAAGAAATGCTAGAATAAAGTTGCATTAAAGAGGGTGTTATTGCAGATATGAAAATCGGGAGCGCTCAGCGGTTCCACGACTACATAGACAAAAAGGAAGGACGGGTAGGAAACGAAGTCGAGAGCTGGAAAAATAGCGGAGCCTTTTTTAATATCAGCTGAAGCTTTGAGAGCGAGTCCCTAAAGAGACATTGGCCATAGGAGCGAGAAAAGCGAGGCGGATCTTCTTCGGCTCAAGAAGGTGTGAGCAGGACTTATTTGCGTTTACTTCTCACTTCAACTTTGCCTTGAATCTGCTTGCATAGCCAGTTCATCTCTTGTCTTTCTCACTTTGAGAGCTGCGTAGGTACGACCACTTTATTAAAATTATTCCGATACTCTCTCTCTCTCTCTCTCTCTCTCTCTCTCGTAAGCTGGAGTCATAATTATTTATAACTTTTCTCGCAACTTGGAGCGTAAAATTTCATACCATCCACTCGCAAACCATGTATGAAATGGGAGGGTCGTTTTAATAATTATTAAAGCTCACGGCTGTATGCGAGCGAATCAGCATTCATCGAGTTTGTATAGCTGAGGTAATCTCGTGATTTACTGCATTCTCATTGCAGGGACCTGAGTAATAGTGAAGAAAAAAATGCTATCACGACTGGAATTAATATGTAGGACTCGCTACAGCAAAGCATGCAGTTTGCCATACCTTGAAGTGGAAAAAATTGAAGTCAAGAGTACAAAACAAACTCGGTGTTTCAGAAAAATTTCGATAATACATCAAAGCGTTCAAGTGATCATGCATTCAACGAATACAGACAGTCCGCCGTCGAATTGAAATTCAACTGGCTGGATTTTCTGAAAACAAAAGCAGTCGTTGAAGCATTTTAGCAGTGGATGCCAAACTCTGCGGAAAATAAAGAAGATTGGCAGGCCACTCGAACCTTTCCGATGCATCGTGAATCGCATTTTATGAAGAGGCAGCAGCAGCGGCAACTCCATCGCTATCCCTCTCCTTCTCGTTCTCCCTTAATTTAGCGCGCGGCAACGTCCGCCGAGACTGCGAGAGTCCCTCGGTGACCACCTCTACCCCCAGCCTATGAGCGCTACCATCCCACGCGTGAATGACTTTGAGCGTGAACGGAGCCTTTTAATTAAATTTTCCAGCAAATCGCTTCCCACTCGAGCTCCCAGTCGGCTCTCTTTTTCTTTCTCTTTACGCCTCTCTTTCGCTCTCGCTCTTCGCTCGGCCCCGCTTACTCATGAACACGCAGGTATGTGCAATTTGTCCGTAAGCTCGCTTTTCCCTACGCGTGCCAATCGTTCGTCATGAATACACCTCGTAATTTGGCTTGAAAAATGTCAGACGATAAAAATCAGCATGAAGTTATTTATCCACGGTCGAATCAGCAATCAAATCAACATTACCGTTTAACGGAGAAAAATAGTCTGTGTCGACCGCGGCGAAATGATAGCGAGACATCCGAAAGAATCTGCACACTGCATCCGTCGTCGTCACACGGTCATTGTACAAAAGTCGTTATGTTCCGTAGCTTCGTTATATGGATGGCCTGTTGCAGAACCGCCCGCGGCACGGTCGACCAGACGGGAATCGAGTGAACGAGCTGTGGTCACATAATCAGCGCTATTGACGCCATTACGGTCGTCCGCGTGAGAGCTAACTGACAGACTCGCCTCTCTGTCCTCTCTATTTCCCACCGCGCTTATCTTCTTTCGTATTGTAGCCGGTAACCAAAAGTTGAAAAAGAAACTTTTTTTCGTTGCTTTCGTCTGGGAAAAATTCTCGTATTGATGCTGATGGACGTGTTTTGCTCATAAAAAAGCACGTAAAAATGAAGACCAACAAGTGTAAAAATCTCTGCATTTGGGAATCGATTATCTCAATACGCATAACGAGACATTGAACAAGTGAGAAATATTTCGAAAAGAATCTGCAAAGACGTATCTGTTCTTCTGTTTCATTATACAATGTTGCCAGCTGAATCATATACGCGTAAGTGAGATATCGCCGTAAGAGCCGCAAAATAGTCTGGCATTCAATTAGCACGAAGTGCGGGAACGGAGGTGAGCCGGCAGGGCAAAGGCTTTTCTAGTTGAAGCCGCGCCATACGTGTACGAGTGCAAGACGTCGCTAAATTAAACGACTCCATTCCTCATCCACTCGGTCAGCACGCGGCTCGCGACTCGACTCGGCTCGGAATACTTCTTCATTTTTTTGTAATTAGACTGAGCTACGATGCGCCGCGTCCTTATAAACGCGCATACATACGTATAAGCCAGGCAGAACTATGCCAGGCCACTTCTCTTTAGTCGAGTCACTTGTCTTGGAAAAAAAGCAGCAGTCAAGCACCTCTTTTCCGCACCCTCAGAGGCTACACTTACATCTTGTTCTTTGCCTTTACTGGTCCCTTCGACTTTTTACACTTATTTTATTTGTCGGATGGAGATGTCGTCAGAATACAGATGAGGTTATTCAGAAAAGCAGTAAACAGGAAGGTGCTCGATAACATGCCGCGACTACTCGTATATACGGACAATGTTTAATGCCAGCGACAGAGCGCAAGTTCCGACGTGTGCATTTGATAGAGTGAGATCGTCGCTAATTTGCCGTTTATATTCGGTGCGCGACTCGAACGAGAGAGAGGGAGAGAAAGAGAGAGAGAGAGAGAGAGAGAGAGAGACGCGGCAACAGCGGCACGTTGTTTCGAAAATAATTAGCGCGAAACGGGCAGGCAGCGGGCAATGCAAGGCGTGCGGCTGACAAATTAAACATTGCCGTAGGGAGAGACTTGTGCAGGGGTCATTTGGCTTCGAAAATGTTCAATCGCGCGCTCGTATATATCCAAAGCGCGCGTCAACGCGACGATGCCGTTTTTATCTTGACCGCGTTAAATAGCAGTGTTCTATAATTCGTCTTATCTCATCTTGCTGCGGAGATAGAAGGAGCTTTATCGGCCATTTCTTTTTTTCCGTTCTTTCTTTTGTGCCGATCTGGAACCATTCGTTTGGTCTGTCAGTAAATCCGCGGCACAGTTAGCGAATCGAATGTCACGGCAAATCGGGCCGAGGAGCTACGGTCTTAACCGTAAGAGAGACAGCCCGCTACTGGCAATGAACAGGGCATTACCCAAGTCCTTATCTCGCCAAGCTCCTAGCTTTTCTGCTTTCTCACGGAGGATTTACTGTTTGCGCTGCCAATCGACCTTTCCCTTTTAAACATTCCTTTTTACGCCTGGCCTCCCCTGCCCAATCGAGCTGTACACCACCGTTATGTATCCTCATTTCAATTCCTCGTTTATTCTCTCGACTCTGCCGGCCGCTGCTGTTTCGCGAGCGGAACAACAAAAACACCACGTACACCTGCGAATCTACAAAATACCGAGCACATTTCTACGTGTAACTTAGACAAAACACAACTGCTCCCTTTCTTTCTTGCGAAAAAAAAAAAAAATGCAGGCT